AACTGCTATCCAGAGAGTCCAGAAGACACAGAACCCCTGAAGCAAATGGCAGACTTCCCTGCAAGAGGATCTGGAGGTGAGTTGAAATCCTGAGTACATGACTTTATATTTCTTTCCCTGAGTTCAAAGATTCTCAAATAAATGGATTGGTCATAGTTAACAAGGAGATTGCCATTATTTTCAATTTCACTAGAACTACAGAATTTTGCTTGAACTCTCCTCCTGCGTGGGTTATGAGTCTCGGCCCCAGTGCACTGGTTCCCATGCCGGGCGATGGTGGCACACGCCTTTAATCCCAGCACTCGGGAGGCAGAGGCAGGCGGATCTCTGTGAGTTCGAGACCAGCCTGGTCTACAGAGCTAGTGCCAGGACAGGCTCCAAAGCCACAGAGACACCGTGTCTCGGGGAAACAAACAAACAAACAAACAAACAAACAAAAAAACAGAATTTTAATCTATCATCATGACTTTAAAATTTAAAATTCATGATATTTTTTCCATTTATGTTTCTTGTGAATTTAAATTTTGAATGTATGGTGATATCATAGCGTTCTGTTTTTACATGGGATCTAAACTTAGTGTACATTATAGAATTCATAAAATGCTATGTGTATGAAACTTTCCACGGTATAAGAAGCTACAGTGTTGTGTGTCAATATGTTTTAAAGCTTTTTTATTTTTATATTTATTTATTTATTATTTATTGGTTTTTCAAGGCAGGGTTTCTCTAGCTTTGGAGCCTGTCCTGGAACTAGCTCTTGTAGACCAAGCTGGTCTCAAACTCACAGAGATCCGCCTGCCTCTGCCTCCCAAGTGCTGGGATTAAAGGTGTGCGCCACCACCGCCCAGCTTAAAGCTTTTTATAAGATAATATTTTATTTGTATATTAGGACATATTTATCTACTAACATACATTTAATGGGCTCCTAGTGGTAGGGACTAGCTCTCTAATAGCTTTCGTAGCACACGTTTTGTTCTATCCCTAGCACTAAGGAAATAAAAACAATAATTGAAATTACTCAGTTTTACTCAGTGCTGCTTGGGAGCTGCAGACAGGAGGAGCCTGAGAGGAAAAAAAGCTGTCATTGATAATGTTGATTCTGACTCAATTTAAGAAGTTAAAGGTAAGTTTTCTATACAGATCCAGCTAATCTTATAGTAAGTTTTCTTTGCAGAGAATTTTTAAATGATGGATGGGTCCATCATTTTTACTTTACACTTAAAAATAATTCTCAGTGTTACTCTTTAGTATTCAGAAATTTACTCTCAAGAGTTCTCCTTCAAGAGAATCAACCTCTCCCAAGGATGAGCCCTTTTGTTGATAGCCCATCCCGGAGCGTTCAGCCCTGAAACTAGATACACGCAAACACAACAAATGGCTTAGCAGACTGCAAGTAATTTGGCTTAGGTGAGATTCAGAGCACATTTGTGAAAAAAATAGTGAGAATATTCAGAGTGATCTAGTGAACTGCATTCCAGAGAAAGTGCAACACTGATGTGAGAACAGCAGCCCTCAGGGTTGTGGCTATGTGTTCAAGCTCTCGGGTCCAGATATTTTAAAGAATCTTTATGAGCCAGGCAATACTTTTACTGAGTCTTATGTATTTAGAAAGAGTGGCCAAACAAAACTACAAAGGTGGTAATGACGTGCCTGTTTGAAACCCTGCGTGATGATTCAGCGGAAAGCCCTTACCGTTGAGTGCAGAGTCCCTGAAAACTCTATAAAACCATCCTTTATTACAGACTCACACTCAAACCATGACAAGGCCACAGCTGGATGTCTAGGGAATTCAGTGGCTCATCTCCTGTTTTTGGCTCATTTGCATGTAAGTGATGGACATCTTGGCTCTGTCCAGAGAGCAGCCACATTTAGGGCACTGGAGTAGGAAAGTTATTTTCTTTCTAGTCATTTAGTCATTTCTCTATTTTGTCTTGTTCTCCCATCCCCACCAGGTCTTCCTTCCTTCCTTCCTTCCTTCCTTCCTTCCTTCCTTCCTTCCTTCCTTCCTTCCCTCCCTCCCTCCTTCCTTCCTATTGACATCTAAGCTTCCTCAGCGTGGTGTTCATTTCATTCACTTGTGTTCTTTGAGGATCTCTATATAGCCCTGGTTGCCCTAGAATTTGATATGTACCCCTGAATGTACAGAAAACTATCTCCCTGGTGCTGTGACTAAAGATGCAAACCACCATGCCTCACTTCCTTCCTTCATTTTTCAGGGAAGTTCTAGTAATATTTGGAAAAGGAGGCTGCAGAGGATGTAACTGAATTATATATAAGGCAAATAACTTCTGTTTCAAAAGGAGAAACTCTCAATTTACATTGCTAACAGTAAAATAGGTGTATATAAGCAATATGTTACAAGTGATACCCGGTGTTTTTGGTAAATTCCAATAATCAAGTCTAATATTCTTTTATTTCTCCTCATAAATACAGATTCCCCAAACTGTGGATCCAGAAACCACCTACTAAGTTGTGTGTGTGTGTGTGTGTGACTGAGCAGTTTGAGCTCCTGTTGAGGTGTTCACACTACTAAGAAATTAGTGGGCACAGAACCTAAAGTAGTAATGGCATCGCCTGATAATCAACATCTGTGGTCAAAAAGAGACAATCTGAAGTTATTGGAATGCATGAAGAATATTATCCCCTCGGATGACTCCAGAGGATTCAAACAAACCCTGGAAGACCTAGACTGGAACAAAGTGGCTTTTGGGCAGTTTTCGGGAGAAATGTGCAGACAGAAGTGGACGAAGATCTCCCATTGTCTGAGGAAGTCCCGCACACTGTCAGAGTTACTGCTGGAAGCCTCCGAATATGTCAAACAAACTCCCAGAAGTAAGGCAATCGAGAAGCATCCCGACTTCCCCAAAAGACCCCTGACTGCCTATCTGCGCTTCTACAAGGAGCATCTGGAGAAATACTCTCAGATGTATCCCAAGTACAACAGCCGACAGCTGACCAAAATCCTGGCTGAGAAATACAAGCAGCTGCCACAGGAGATCAAGGACAGATATATTCAGGAGTTCCAGAAGGAGAAACAAGAATTTCCGGAAAAACTGGCTAAATTCAAGGAAACTCACCCTGGTATAGAGTATTATAAGAAATATAGAGTGTCCACGAGCCCCCAAACTAAAGCCCCTAAGAAACCACAAGGAGATATGAAAAACATAAGGTCTCCTCTAGAAACAGAATTTCCCAAAACATTTTCTACAGTGATAAAATTTCAGGGAGAACCCAAGAAACCCCCTATAAATGCATATCACAAATTTCACCAAGATTCATGGTCAAGTACGGAGCTGCAGCATCTACCCTTAAGGGAACGTTGGGTTGAGATTAGCAGACGGTGGCATCAAGTCCCAGGGAGCCTGAGAGAGCATTATAACCGTCAGGTCGAAGAGTTACAGAAAGAGTACTGGGTGGAGATGGACCTCTGGCTCAAGGGATTGTCTCCCGAGGAAGCCACCGCATATCGAGAGGCAAAAGCCACTTGTGGTAAGAGAAAGAACTTGGCCATGTCTGGGGGCAGAAGCCCCAAATTTGGAGAAACAGAGCATCAGTCCACCTCAGCAACGGAGGGGCTCCAATCCAGTTCTGGAGAAGGGCTGCTACCTCCTGAAACAGATTCCTCAGAGACTATTCAGGGCTATGATGGTGGCTCCCAGGCAGGCGGGCAGAATATGATGGAAAATGGCAAAGAGGAAGACCCCATCGGCTCCTCGGACTCTTCTAGCAGCTCCTCGGACTCCTCTAGCAGCTCCTCGGACTCCTCTAGCAGCTCCTCGGACTCCGCTAGCAGTGAAGATGAAGATGATGGGCACGTTCCTTAGTGGACTTCTCAAATTTAGCCTTCATTTTAGTCACTTTTCTACCCTAAATCATAGTTTAAAAGCCAGGGCATCCCGGACGGAGAGGGACTGGTCTTCTCTGTGCTTTTGTACTTCCTTATTTATTTTTTTTTTTTTTATCCTGCATCCTTCCTTTACTTACTAAATACAAACTAAATACAAAGGAATACAGTGTGGGGAGAAGGGAGTTTGCCACAGTGTTGTCTTCATCAGGTTCATAGGTTTAGAAAGATCCCGAGACAGCATGCAAAAGTTATTTACATTTTATTCAAACAAAGAACAGAGCCAGTTTTACAAATTTAGGCATCGTGTAGACAAGTGGTATCAGTTAATTCTAGGAAGGGTCTTTTAGTCCTTGCTGTTTCAAACAGCGAATCTCACGTTTGATATTCAGGATAAGTAGACACATGAACAGATAGATACAGATAAATATTCTATTCTCTGACCTTATCTGATGTTTTTAATACACTCATCAGCACCACACAACTGATTATTTTCTTAGTGGCATTTTAAATATATTTAATGTTACTTTTTTATCATTTTGCTTCTGAATAGTCTAAGCTGTTTTCATAAATATTAGCTTTTTTATAGTATTTGTTTAAAACCTTTGAGATTTTAATATTTGTACATAAAATTCATTTTATTTCTTTTAGCTCCCACATGGATTGTAAAACTTTTACATATTAATAAAGTACTAGGATGTTTTTATAAATATTTACAGCACATAATGTTTAAATCCAGTTAAATAAATGTATCACTTCAAATATTTATCATTTACTTAAGGTGAAATTTGCCAAAATAGTTTTTTTTTAAATTTACAGTGTATTGTCATTATTATCTTGAATCATTGTTTATGTGGTCTCCCAAAAAATTATTTGGGTGCATATTTTGCACAATTTTGTACCCCTCTCTGATTTGCTTATGCTTCTAAACATGTTGTGATAAATTTGTGTCTTTTTAAAAATTTTCAGCTGAAACTTACAAGATTTGCTGCTGTGTAACTGTGTTGATATATGAATTTGAATTAAGTTGTAACATGTTGCCAAAAGTGAATTTCTACACATACAATTAAACAATTTTAATGAATGATATTTATTAATTTTGTCCTATCTTTAATCATATAGTGATGGTATTTTCTATAGTGTAATCCTCAGACTTCTCTAGACCCACACGGAGAGTACTGTTACTATTTCTACTTTGGGGCCACAAAAGTGGTCTGTTTAGTCATCACCTTTTATTTTGATTGATCTTGCATCCCCAATCTGGGAAATTAAAAGTCCTGAAAGCCAAAGTGGAGAGATGAAAAGTATATGGGGTCCATTCAACCATTTGTAGCAGACATTCCTATAAAATATGGAGACAAGATTTTGTTGTCTCAAATGGAAGTTACTGTCTCTTAATAGAATTAAGGTACCTATAGTCCTAAGATTGGAAAAACATGAAAATGGTTTAGAGTTTTGTAGATTTGGTTTAGGATATCCAAATTTATAGGAATGGCCACTGATAATGCACAACTCAGATGCATGGTATTCTTACCCTAGTCCCCAGCAAGGCCTGGAAAGCAAATATGAGCATCCCCAGCTCCTCTGGAGCAGGCGTTTGAGGAGGACACAATGACACAAGATATTCCAGGCCTCAGCTCTAGCTAGAAGCAGGGCTGTTGAGAATCTTTCCTCCAGGTAGGCCTCATACTGTAAGGGTCCATGCAAGAACATTGCCTGCCATGTGTAAGTCCAGTAAGAACAAGCTAAGAGGAGAAGGTAAAAGTTTCAGCAACTTCAAGCTGAAAAGATTTGACTGGTGGGTCTACACCTGGCTACAGCCTCCTTTGGCTACAAGAGGCTGCTTGTCATTTGCTCCTAGAATAAGCCCTGAAGTTAAGCATAGGTAATGTTGTCATCTATTGTTACCGTCAGGGAATCTGGGTTTGGTTCATTTTCTCTCTCAGTTAAAGAATTAAAAGGCATGGGGAAAACATGGTCCTGAGAGATGGCAGCAGAAGAATCTCAAATACAGGACACAATGCCAGTCATTAGAGAAAGGCTTCTTTTAGAGAGAGGGAGACATACACAGACAGAAAGACTTTCTAGAAAGCAGGGGAAAGCCTCTGAAGCTTAAAACTTCTGGCTCTGGCAGTGCTGGGTTTTTCATCCCCTAAACGACAGGATGGCTGATTGGCCCACATCAGTGGTGTAAACATACCCTGCTTTGGCCTTGAACGTCACTGTTTGGTCCGTAAATGATGTGTGTGTGTGTGTGTGCGTGCGCGTGTGTGTGTGTGTGTGTGGGGGGGAGAGGTTACAGGAAGCAGAAAAGTCCATCAGGACTGTTTCAAGGTGCAGATTTTTGTCTGAGGAGGAGCAAGCTAGCTTTCTTGGAAGCTTGCCATCTTTACTACTTAGTCATGGTCCCTCTTTCTATATGCTTGCCTCTCAGGGAACCTAACTATAGGACTTCACTACTGTAACCTAGCTGGAGAACAGCCAAAGACATTCAGTTTAGTAAGAGATGGCATGTCCTTGTTGATCACTTTCCCCTCCTTAGGACTTAAATATTGGTTTCTAATCATAGGAATATGCCTGATGAGCAAATTCCTAACATTGTGTCTGACATGAAGTGTGGAAATTGGAGCCATGCATTCTGCGGCTGACCCATATTAGTCCTCTTTAAAAGGTCCCAACAGCAATCTACAAATTCAATGAAATCCCCATCAAAATCCCAACACAATTCTTCACACACCTTGAAAGAATATTAGTCAACTTCATATGGGAAAACAAAAAAACCCAGGATAACAAAAACAATCCTCTATAATAAAGGAACTTCTGGAGGCATCACCATTGCTGACATCATGCTCTATTATAGAGCTACAGTAATAAAAACAGCTTGGTTCTGGCAAAAAAAAAATACTAGACAGGTTGACCAATGGAATTGAATAGAAGTCTAGATATTAATCCGCACACCTATGAACACCTGATTTTTGACAAAGAAGCTAAAATTATACAATAGAAAAAAAGAAAGTATCTTCAGCAAATGGTGCTGGCATAACTGGATGTCAACATGCAGAAAAATGAAAATATATCCATATCTATCACCATGCACAAAACTTAAGTCCAAAGCAACTAAAGACCTCATATAAATCCAACCACACTGAACCTGATTGAAGAGAAAGTGGGAAGTAGCCTTCAATGCATGGGCACAGGAGACCCCTTGCAAAATATAACACCAATAGCAAAGACTCTAGGAACAACAATAAATAAATGGGACCTCCTGAAACTTAGAGGCTTCTGTAAAGCAAAGGACACAGTCAATAAGACAAAAGGGCAGCCTACTGAATGGGAAAAGTTCTTCACTAACCCCACATCAGAGGATTGATTTACAAAATATATAAAGAACTCAAGAAATTAGACATCAAAATTTCAAATAATCCATTAAAATGGGGTACAGAACTAAACAGAATTTTCACGAGAAGAATTTCAAATGGCAAAAAGACAAGAAAATGTTCAACATCCTTAGACATCAGGGAAATGCAAATCAAAATGATGCTGAGATATCATCTTACACCAGTCAAAATGGCTAAGATCAAAAACATCAATGACAGCTTATGCTAGAGAGGAAGTAGAGCAGAAAAACACCAATTCATTGCTGGTGGAAATGGAAACTTGTACAACCTCATTGGAAATCAGTATGGCAGTTTCTTAGAAAACTGGGAATCAACCTACCTCAGAACCCAGCAATACCACTATTAGGCATATACATAAAGGATGCTCAATCATACTTAAAGGGCATTTGTTCAGTTATGTCCATAGCAGCATTATTTGTAATAGTTGGGACCTGGAAACAACCTAGATGCCCCTCAACTGAAGAATAGATAAGAAAAATGTGCTACATTTACACAATGGAGTACTACTCAGTGGTAGAAAGCAATGACACTGTGAAATTTGTACACAAATGAATCGAACTAGAAAACATCCTGAGTGAGGTAACCCAGACCCAGACAGATGACCATGGTATGTACTCACTCGTAAGTGGATACTAGATGTAAAGCAAAGGATAACGAGCCTATAGTCCATGACCCTAGAGAACCTAAGTAACAAGGTGAACCCTAAGAAAGATCTCCTGACAAAATTGGGAGCATGGGTGTGGGGGAGAAGGGAAGGTGGATGGGGAAGAGGAGAGGAGAATAGGAAGGGGGAGGAGAACTTGAGGAATCAGGACAGTAGAGATGGAGGAGGGACAGAGATGGAGAAAGCAAGGAAAGAGATATTTTCATTGAGGGCCATTATAGGGCTAGCAAGAAACCTGGCACTAGAGAAATTCCCAGGAATCCACAAGGATGATCCCAGCTAAGATCCCAGGCAATAGTGAAGAGGGTGCCCAAACTGTCCTTACCCTGTGGTCAGATTGATGTCACCATTCATGTTACCATAGAACCTTCATCCAGTAACTGATGGAAATAGAGGCAGAGTCCCACAGTGGAGCACTGGACTGAGTTCCCCAACTCCAGTTGAAGAGTGGGAGGAGTGAGAATATGAGAAAAGCAGTCAAGACCATGATGGGGACAACCACTGAGACAATTTACCTGAGCTAATGGAGCTCAACAACTCCAGCAGGACATGGAAGGAAACAGCATAGGACCAAATTGGACCCTCTGAATGTTGTTGACAGCTGTATGGCTGGAGCAGACTGTGGGGCCATTGGCAGAGGCACCAGAATTTTTCCTGCTGCTTGTACTGGCTTTTTGGGAACCCTTTTTTTTTTGGATGGATACTTTGCTCAGCCTAGATATAGTAGGGAGGGCCTTTGCTCCCCAAAGCAACGTGCCTTATACTGTCTGAGGAATGGATGGGGGTGCCATGGGAGGAAGATGGAGGGAATGGGAAGAGGGGAGAGAGTGGGAACAGGGATAGGTCACACCTAAAATGAAAAAAAGATAGTTTTCTTCCTTCCTTCCTTCCTTCCTTCCTTCCTTCCTTCCTTCCTTC